TAGGTTCTACCCCCAGAACCTGTATCTAGCTTCCAGCTTTGTTGATAAAAGGGAATTTGCTCCCAGTATTATTAGGTCTGATTTTTTTAAGAAAAGCCAAAAAATTAGGACATTTATGTAAATAATCTTCCAAATTTTTAACATATCCAACTAACTGGTACATGTTAAAGTGACTTTGAAGGCAACCAGAGCTATCTCTGAGGTAGAATTGGCTTTGGATCCATCAATTTGCAGTCCCTTCTTGGACCTCTAAATTAGGCCGTTGATCTGAAAAATGATTATCTTTCCATTCAGGTGGAAGAAGCAAGAGTATAAATCCATCTCTTCTCCTGAGAAAGAACCCCTGCTACCTTTAGGCCTTCCTAACCCTGGGTCATGCAGTGGATTAAATGGTAGTCCCTTGAAAGATACATCTAAATTCTACTCCCTGGAACCTGTGAATGTGATCTTATTTTGAATTACAGTTCTGCAGATGTAATGCAGGTAAGGACTTTGGGATGAGATTATCCAAGATTACTGAGGATGGGCCTACATCCAATAACAAGTAACCCTATAAGAGACACACAGGTCAGACACAGAGAAGAGGGGATAACCATGTGGAGGTGGAGGCAGAGAGTGGAGTTATTCAGGCACAAGCCCACCAGAAACTGGAAAAGGCAGGGGACAATCTCTCCCACCAAGCCTTCAGAGGGAGTATAGCCCTGATGATACCACAATTTTGAAATTTTAGTCCCCAGAACTGTGAAAATAAATTTCTATTGTTTTCAGCCAAGTATTAAGATTTTCTTTTAAGCCCTAGGAAACTAACATAGGCCCAGTAACCACCCTTCTTAGCAGGACATCTTTAAACATACCTCCACCACCTGGCACAAAATTGTTCCTCTGAGAATGGCTCAAGAAGTTGCACCAAAAGTTAAAAAGCAACTTCTCTACTTAAACTCAAGTCTTCCTGACATAAAATGCTTATATAACCCGTGGAGAAAATCAAGCTTCAGAGAAAAGCATCCTTCAGGGGAGACATAAGAACATCTGGGTCACTCACTCTCTCACCTAGGAAGATGGTGCAAATGGGAGCCCAATCATATCTTAATTCTAACCAATGATAACTATTCTCCATTCCTTTATTCTAAGGCATGTGTGATGGCAGTAACCCAGGCATTGTTGAAGGAATTAAAGGCTATCAAGGCAAGAGCCATTTTTAAAATTCTAGGTCCTTAACTAAAGGTGAATTTAAACACCAAAGCTGACACAGTAGATTTTACACGAGGGGAAAGAATGAGATCCATTAGAGGCCACGGAACATGAGGATTATCCCATTCATTTATCATTTTCTTAAGTAATCATTTTGAATCACCTATTCTGTCCTCAGTGTGATTTCTCCTAAAGCCCACTAGAGTAATTGAGAATATTTTATGTTTTCTTCAGTATTTCTTCCTCAAAAAAAGAAAGAAAGAAAGACATGGCTATCAGGCAAAAAGTACATATGTGATATCTTCCCAAATGCCTGATTTATGAGACACTTACTTATAAAATTATAGGAAGCAGAATTCACTGCTCCTTTGTGTTCCCATGTCCTTGGTAGGTTTTTTAAGCCTTTGTTTTATTCATACACTCAATGTATTCTGCACTTCTATTTATCCATCAGTGAACTAAACCTTCCAACAAACTAGGTACACATTTGTCTTTTCAGCAGTCCCCCATCCAATGGGAGAGCCAAAAATGGAACAAAGAACCACAGAGCAAGAGGATGAATGTCGTCCTAGAGACAGGTACACTGTGCTTGGAAGCAAAGAAAAAAGAGTGTCAAGTTGAACTGGAGATGGTATCACAGGGGAAATGCCTGTGGAGCCAGGTCTCACAGTGTCTTTAAACATGAGGTAGCTAAGGGTATTCCAGCCAGAGGAAATGGTATGCTCAAAGATATAGACAAACAGAGGAGTAGGGAGTGGAGTATGGCACGTTCAGGAACTGGTAAGAAATTTGAGATGGCTTCAGAGGTGAGTGCAGAGGATGAGAAGGGAAAGTGGGTGGCTGGCCCCTTCCTGGTGATCTCTGGGGACTGTCCTCCATTGACCAGGAGAGGGCCTCTATTGTCCTCTGCCTGGACTTCCACATAGTCCAGGCTCAAGGCTTGAGTCTTTGTCTCCACAATGCCATGAGAGTAAGCTTTATAACATGACGGTTCACATGATTCTGTGGTTGAAAACCTATAAGTCCAGTCTTAGTGCCTCTAGGATCAAGACCCAACTCAACCAGGCCCTGCAAGCTTGTGTTAGTTTGCTGGGACTGCCATACCAACATGCCAGAGTCTGTGTGGCTTGAGCAATGGGAAGATGTTGTCTCTTAGTTCTGGGGCCTAGAAGTCCAAGATCCAGATGTCAGCCCATTTAGTTTCTTTTGAGGACTCGGGTAGGGAAGGATCTATTCCAGACCTTTCTTCTGAGCTTTATAAGAACAGATGGAGTCACAAGGAGAAGAGTGCCTCTTCTCCTTGTGACTCCATCTGTTCTTATAAAGATCCCCATCAAATTGTATTAGGGCCCAATCTTTAACATGATTACCTCTTTAAAGATCTTATCTCTAAGATGGGCATGGTGGTACAAACCTATAATCCCAACACACTTGGGAGGCTGAGGTAGGAGGATCCCAAGTGGGAGACCAGCCTGAGCAAATTAGTGAGACCCTGTCTTAAAATAAAAATTAAAAGAGTGGCCAGAATTAAAATTAAAAGTTGTGGCCTAGCAGTAGAGCACTTGCCTAACACATGTGAAGCAATGGATTCAATCTGCAGCACCAAGTAAAAAATAAGTAAATAAAATAAAGTAATTGTGTCCATCTACAACTACAATTTTTTTAATTAAATGAGGTATGTAAGACACCACCACAAAAAAAAATAAGTAAATAAATAAAGAAATACCTTATCTCCAAATACAGTCATGTTTGAGGTGCTGAAGGTCAGGACTTCAAAATATGAATGGGCAGGGTCAGGGACCATTCAGCCCATAACAAGGCTCATCTTTCATTGCCCTCATGCACCTCACAGTGGTTTCTCATATATAGTTTATAGTCAGCGCTACAAGCACTTCCAAAGATATACCAAGTCATGCCTTAGGTCTCTTTTTTCTGCCTAGTAGGTGTTTATTTGAGGGGCAGTAGAGTGCAATGGTTAATAGCACTAACTCTAAAAAAGAAATCCATCTTTAAATCCCAGATTTACCAATCAATTTTTATGTGACTTGGAAAGTATGGCTTAACCTTCCTAATCTATATCCTCATTTGGAAAATGGCAATTGTACCACTTTTTCATAAAGAAAAATTAATAAATATGTGTAGAGAATTTTGAATAGTGTTTAATATGTGGTAAATGCTGCTCAAATGTTGGCTATTCCAGTTACTCTCTCCTGGCAGACTGCTCTTCATCGGGGAGAGCTTGGTTGACCATCACTTCCGAGAAGCCTTCTCTGACTTCACATCCTGGACTACTGTACCAAGCACTTCAGGTATGTTGGTTACTGGTTGCTCTCCCATTAGCCCATGACTCCTTGAAATCACAGACCTCTCAGAGAGGAAAAAGCTTGGTCTCTGAGGTCAGAGAGGCTGGGTCACACATCTCTAAGCAATTTAATCTCTCTAATCTTTGATTTCCTGCTCTAGAAAATGGACACAATAGTCAAACTTCACTGAGACATTGTCAAGAACAAATAATATTAGACACATAAGGGATATTTCTGTTAAAGAGTTAGGACCAATGATTATTAGCTATTATTATTATAACTCTGTATAGTCAGTGCATTTAAAAAATTAAAATAAGTTTCTTTCTTAGGGGCCCTATTATCTATCTCTTTTCAAGAGACACAATTTAAAACCCCACATGTCTTATCATTGGCCATCAGGAAAACCTTAGGAATAAAGTTCCTTAAATGGGAACAGCAGGGAAGCAAACAAGGAAAAAATAAAACACTCTTGGTTTTATTTGGTAATCAAACAAATTACACAAAACTTAACCTGGAAATGAAAGTCCATGGGGAGAAAAGCTTAAGTAGAGAACTTACAAGCAGACCCAAGGGATCCTCCACAGCCTAGACCAAACCACCATTCTTCAGTGATAGCACCTTCCTTCAGGATGTGTCTCCCAATGCTTCTCTCAAGAGGCAAAACAAAGTTGAAAAGGGCTGTGATCACCTCCAATATTTTTCTTTCCTTTCAATATCTTTTTCAAAATTAATATTCTGTTTTTTTTCTTATTTTTTCTTATTTTATTGTTATTTATATAACAATATAATTTGGCCAATATCATTCCCAAGTATTTTCCCTATCCTTCTCTTCCTCCCTCCTCCTGGTCCCATTCCTCCACCTCTTTTCTTCCCCTAGTTTCTTTTCTCTTACTCTACTGATCTCCCTTTGGTTTTCATAAGAACTCCCTTCCCAGCTTTCTTGTCTGCTCTCCCTTCTAACTTCCACATATGAACCTTAACTTTCTGAGCTTGACTTGTTTCACTTAACATAATGTTCTCAAGTTCCATCAATTTTCCTCCAAATAATAAAATTTCATTCTTCTTTATGACTGAATAAAACTCCATTAAGTGTATATATACCAAAAATCTCTTATGTGTATATATACCACATTTTCTTTATCCATTTATCCATTGACAGACACCTAGACTGGATTCCATAGTTCAGGTGTGAATTGTGCTGTTATATTCTATTATTATTTTGTATTTCTACAAATAGGGGCAAAAGAAAGTTGCCCCTTATCAGAAAATGCAGATAGCAATTTAAATAAAATTTCTTAACATTCATAATTTCCCATTCCCAAACGCACAGTTTGTTGTATAGCTTTTGCGTTCCTTATAAAACAAGATCTAGATAGAGATATAAATTACAGATACAGATAATTAATTATGGCTGGATATATTTATATACATAGGTGTATAATCACAGCTATGTCTGTTCCTAAATGCAGATATCGGTCTACAGACTACCACAAACAAGCACAAAGATTATTCAAAATGAAGGCATTTTATTAGGTGGAAGGGCTTTTGATTCATGATCTGCCTTCTGCACTCAAATTAAGATATATCTTGTTTAATCACAACCCCTCCCTTCTAAGGAATGAAATTCCCCTGGATTGTTCCTCGCTAGTCCAAGTCCAGCTCTGCTTTCCTCAGGGTGGCCTCTCAGTGAGCCCAATTTCTCTGTGGGTAACCCAGTCCAGGAAGTCCTCAGATTTTCCTACCACAAAGAACTGGCTGCTCCGGTAAGGTCTGGGCTGAAGTGAACAAGGACTGCGAATTTCAAGCCAGTACATTTGACTCGCAGCTAGGGTTTCCTTTTACCCTCCAAGACTCAGGCATGACCCTGGAGCATGTTTCCCAGGTGCAAACATCCTTTTCAAAACAGAACCAGATGGGGTCTCAGATTTAGTGACAAAAATCTACTAATTGTAGATCATAGATAACATGTAAATTATCTGAAAAGCTAAGGGCTTTATAACTTACCCTTGAAACAACTCTTTGAGGTAGATATTGCTGTTATTCCCAGATAAAATACGAGGAATCTGAAGCTGAAGGAAATATCTAAAGTTTGAGTCACTCGTGACATTGCCTAACTCGCTTGCTTGACTCATGACATGCTGCTTCTAAGTTTCTTGCAGGAGATGGAGGAAACACCCACAACATGAGTTCTAGCTGCTAGAGTTCTCTTTCCCAAGATGTCTGGCTGAGAAAGAGCTGTGTCAGCAGCTCTGCAGGATGATCTTAGGGGTGTTAGGACCACTGCTGAGAAATCATGTCTCTGTTACAAAAGCTGGTGGCACAGGTTTCAGAAACTTACAATTACATCCTTCTCCCTAAGATGGTCTAGAAGTTTGGTTCAATCTGATGGCCATTTGAAGTCTAGAGATGCTATGTATCTGATGTTCAGGGAGTCATCCCGAGTGCTGCATGTGGGGCTCAGAGCAGCTGGTCAGGGCTCTACCTAGACCAGCTTGGCCTTGGAGCACTCATCCCCCCTAGGGAAGACTTGGTGATTACATGGGAAAACTCTGCATCAGGCTCATTTATAAATATAATTTAATATTGTTGAAATACACTGACCTGGAGTGAAGATCTTCCCATTTAAATGGATAATTTTCCTTTGTTGAGTATTTTCTAAAGCTCCATTATTTTTTTAAACTTTTATGAGCTCATTCCTGCCTCCTCTCCTATCAATGGATTGTTGACAGACTGAAATTGGTCCTGGTTATTCCATGTTTGGGTAAACGTGGACCTTGTTCCCTTAAATCCTGGTTTGATAAGGACTAACAGGAAACCAAAAATGAAAAAAGTTAAGTAAAAAATATAAATCTTGCATGGATTAGCAATGCCATATTCAAAATAGAATATGGAATAGAGTATTCAAGAGCTTAGCACATTTGTATCTTAAGATTTATTTTCGTATAATTTACCCTCAACTTGCATAACAGTGATCAAATGAAGGAGAGCATAGATTTAACTGTGAGATCCAGTTATGAGCATAAACACAGGAACACAGTTGCCCAAGCAATGGCCTTAGGTTGCAGAAGCACAGATTCCAGCTGACACATGGAAACCTCGTTTCTCCCCACATTACACTCCTCTGACAGCTGTTTCAGCAACACAGCAGGATAAACTTTGAACAGTGAGGGATGTGTCTTCCACAGTAGCTGTAGCTAAGTAGGTGGGGTAGTAAAGAGGTAGATATTTCATAAAAAGGAGTCATTGGGTTTCAGAGAGATCTCACATGATGACTTTCATTTTTCCTATGACCAAGGGGGACAGAAATGATGGCAAGGGTAGCACAAGAAAGTAGTAAAAGTCTAGCCTCTGTGGAGAATGAGAGAAGGATCTGAGATAAGTAGATTTTAAAAAAAAAATGATACAAAGCACTGCAAGGGGAAAGCTGGACTTGGAAACCCTGAATGTATAAGGGGCAGCCGTGGGTAGTCAAATGACAGGTAAGAATAATAGATAATCAGGTAGGTCCTAGTTTGGAGATTGGGGAGGAAGGTGCAACAGAAAGTCTGCAATGAGTGAGTGAAGCATTCTGTGCCCAGTTTGGATAAGGAAAGAAACATAGCAATGACTGAGGATAAGCCGTGGGGAGAGAGAGAAGCACGAAAGGGCTGGAGTGTTGGAGGGAATGAGATTGGATAATAAACACAGTGGTAATATGGAAGGAAGGGAGTAGGAAGAGTAGAAAGCTGACCAGTGATTGACATATTAGAGTTTAAAGTACTAGAGGGGATGGAGTACCAGTTGGTAAGACTCTATCAATGAAAACAGGTGATTGGGAAGGAGAGAACATGCAGGGTTAACGATGACAGAACCTCGAGGCTCCTTTGTTGAGCATTCCATTAGGATTCAAGAACTAATGTTGTCAATGCTTTATTTGTGTAGTGACATTGTATTATTACCTTATTACAGGCCCTCTTATTATAAGCCACTTCCAATACTTGCAGAATAAAGAAAAATAGTCAGTGAGATGAACAAAATATAAATCATCATTGGGTCTCAGATGTGGTCAAAATTATGTGGATTAGGTAGTTCAGGGATGTGAATTTCTTCCTCCTCTTCTGGGGCTGTGCACATTTCTCATCTGCTCTACTCAGTCTTAGGTCCCCCAGTGGAGGCCTGCAACTCCATCCCTGCATCCTGTTGCAGTTCTGAGCAGAGTTGCCTACACCACATTATTGTTCAATGAAACTTCATTGAATTAACAGCTTGAGAAAATAGTTCTAAGACATCCTCATATGCTCATATACTGATTGTATAAGTGCTCATGTTAATGTTCATAATACTTTCTACATATGCAACTTGAGTCTAGTTGCATAGCTGGAGGGTTCAGGATGATGAAGAGAGGAGGTTTGGATGCTGCTGAAGATAGGGACAAAATCTGCTGGAGCTTCCAGACCCCCCTGCTCAGTACAGGGCCCAGAAAATAGATGCCAATGAGTTCCAGATGAGAAAGATGACTCCCCACCTTATAAAGAATCTGCTTCTGACCTCTAGCTGCTGAGAGGCAGAAGACTCTGTGTCATCAGGAGCCCAAACCCATCCAAGCAACCTCACCTCTCCACACAGCCTCAGGCTCTTATAAGGTTATTTATTTTTTTGTTTATTTTTTCCTTAAGATCAATCTAATATGTACTTTTGATCTTAATGAAGGCAGGCACTTGAGTAATTTTATAAATAAATAATTTACTTCCCAGTTGGGAGGTACTTACTCTATTGTAGAATAATGTGTTCCGAATGCTAGTGATTTCAAGTCCAGAAATGAGAAGTAATGTGGTTTTGATAGCATTCCACTGCCTGTTCTTAGCCAATCTCTGAAATTGTTGGAGGGTTGGGAATGCTGCAGCTCATTGAAGGGACATTGTGACAAAAAGGAAAAATTCTTATAAACCCTGGAAGGACAGGCCTGAGCTTGGCTGGGCTGGGCAAGATGATCCTCCCCTGCTGATAAGGTCTCTGTTTAGAACCAGGGAAACTGGCAGAACAGGGTAGGAGCAAGCCCTGAGCAGTGCATCAGGATCGATGGTTTGACAATACATATTTTTTGGAGGCCATCTGGGGATTAAATTAACATATTTAAAGTTCAAAAGGGAATAGAAATTCATTACTAGAATGGGAGAGGTCATTTTTTTCCTGGATTACTCCCAAACAGAAAATTGAGAACAGGATTTGTTGCAGTAAAAACCCAAAGGGATTGTTTTTTTCCTTCAGCAAAGCCAACAGATGTTTTCATTCTTTTTAGAGCCAACTCTCGGTTAACCAGCACTTGGACATTCTGTTTTTTCAGTTATTCATTTAACTTTTTCTTTTTTTAAATGCCACCAATCCTGACAAGATATTCCTTCTAGTCAGTGTTTAAGTGATTGCTCTCTTTGTTAGAATATTTCCTACAGTTGATCAGAACAGAAAGACAAAGGACAGACAAGGCTTCTTTTCCTATTTAGACATTTGGACTTCCTTTATCTCCCCTCTGCTTTTTCCCTCTTTGCCATTATTCTTTCCCATCCTCTCTTGCATGCTCCCAGCTCTCCTGTCCTCTTCCTGATACATACATCCTTCCCAAACATCCTCACAAGTACCCCCTCCCTGTGGTGTGACACAGGACAGTTAAAAATTCAGGACAGGCTGGAGAGTTTAAATGCTAACACTTCATAAATAACCATAGCAGTCCTCATTCACTGAAGTATTTTTTTTTCCAATTTGAAGATTTTTTTAAAAAAAATGTAACATGAAAGATGGTACTACCAATTTGTTGAGAACCAGATCAAAAACTCAAAGTCTGGAGATCCTGGACCATTGGACAGACACATGATGTAATCTACACCCTCCTCTGAGAGGACAGGAAGGGGTATGTAATGTAGTGTGCCAAACTCTCTTGTATCATTATTTCAAGAATATTCTAGATGCCACTACTTTATTAATCAGATGAAGAAATTAAATTGGGAGAAATTAAGTACGAAGTAGCACAAGGTTACAAAGCTGTTAAGTGACATACATCAACGTTCAAGCTCAGGTCTTCCTGGCACCAAAGCTTTGTAGCATACTTTTATGTCTTCATTCAAGAGAGGATACAAAACACTTGAATATAGTCCACCCTCATCAATTTGCAAGTGGATTTTCCTGTTTTCAAGTGACTTTGGGTCTTGGGAATCACCCAGTTTCCAGACTCTTGGACTGATGACACCAGTAGTATCTTCAAAAGGAGAATTAAAATAAACATGGGAGAGTGAAATGTATATTCATGTATTTAGATTTGACTCTGCGCCAATGTGGATGTGACGTAACATTCATTTTGATTCGTTCCTGAAGAATTTCTCCAGCTTCTGGCTGATTCTTATATTTCCTTTCCTATTTCTCATGTATCCCTATGAATGAATCACGATGAATCCCCTCCAATGGAGCAATTTGGCTCTTGCCTTTTTTTCCCATATCCCACCTGCTGACATGGAAGTCCAGGAGTTAACTAAAGAGTACTCAGCCTCTCTCAGGAGACTTAGTTATACCCATTGACCCTTAAATCCATTCACTGTATCAACAATTACCTGAAAGGACTCACCTCCTTCTTACCTCCTTGCTTCTTTGTGTTTTCCTTAAGGGGTAGGGAGAGGGTTCAAAGAAGTGATTTTAGACAAGAAATTCAAACAGCATCCCTTCCCCAACCATACCCTGCCCCTATATACATGCACCCTTTCTCTGCAGGAATATAAGCCTTCAGAGAAATGAAGAGCAGTTTTTCCGCGTAAGCGTTTTAAAAACAATCTTGCCACAAATAAACTAATTTTAATATTAAAAATTAGAGGATAACACACACACACACACACCTACACGATGCAGCCCAGAAACTGAAAAACCCCTTTATTTTTTAACTCTTGAAACAAAAAGGAAATTAAGTCAGAAACTGAAGAATGCTGATAATAATTATTAGCAATATTACCATTTCAGAATTTATGTAATATAACTGAAGCAGCACTGAAAGGAAAATTTATATTGTTAGAAAGAAAACTTTAGATAAAATAAACAACTGAGTTTGGGCATCCAAAAGAAGAAAGCATTTAAAACCAAAGAGGTTTAAAGAGCTTGGCTTTAATGTTGGAAACCTCAGGCTTTTACACACTGAATAGGGAAGCAAAATCAAGAAATTATTTGATTGGCTAGACCTTTGCCTTATTTGATGTGATCCAGGAGAGAGTCTCTGTTAGAGGTTAGTTGGTGGTTTCTGAATGGTTAAGCTTAACTGTCAGCTTATTGTTTACATCTGTTAGGGTTTTGTTTGCTTAGGTAGGAATCCAAGACTCTGGAGCCATCTCAGCCTGATGGTCTCTCAATTGATTATGTTAAATTTATAAGTAAATAAGAAAGAAGTAAGTACTTTAAAAGTTTTGGAAATTAACTACAAAAGAAATGCATGGAAAGACTGAATAAAAATAAAAGCATAAGTTAACTAATTATAAAAAACCAAAAGTGTGATAAAA